TTCATGCCTCCGGGCTTATGATCAAGGAAGTACGGTATACTGTGAAGATTCAATTCAGTCCAGTGTGAGTGATGAGAGTATATCGTCGACGATGCCCCTTGTTCGGATGAAAGTTTTATTTCAAATTACACGGAAGTCTGTGAACAATCTGTATGGTGTTCCTGTGACACTTGTCCCATGATTTGCCAGTGCAGCCCCGTGAATACATGGACGAAAATGTTTCCACCACCACCCTACGAACTCAAGATTGCATACTCCGGCATCCATACTTTGAATAATTTGCACGCCGCACAGTGCAGTACTGGAAACAGCATTTATTAGACAGACAAAAAACAAAACGAAATGCCTGTCTCGATCAATCGCACATCCATAATGTCTGTATGTTGATATGCTTGTAAATAACATTAACGTAAAAACGAAACAACCTAGACTAGAAGTCAATTCACCAGTCCAGCCAGCTATGGCTCCCTAAGTTGCTTATATTTAATCAGATACTATTTCGTCATCATGCTTTGTTACCTTACCTGTTTATACCTCATGAGGGCGTTTTTTATGGCAAGATGGCGCAAACGGAAGTCCTTCGCAGGTTTATGGTTTCTCATATTTAAATCATCATAACTCTGAAGATAATCATTTTTTTTAATTTTTTTTTCAAATTTATAATCAATATACATAACTTGATAAATACAAACACCAAAATAGGCTCTATTTAGTTCCCCTTTAATTAGTTAATTAGGAAACCAAGATGATCTTCCTTGTCCACAAAACTATATATTTTCGGAAAGCTTATTGTATGAATTTTAAAATTTTGTTAGTGTTTTTTTCATGGACACTGTAGTTTGAAATGTGCACAAAAATGTGCTTTTTTGGTCAAAAGTGATTTAAAAAAATAGCATCTAAACCATGCTTCTGTTTCCTGTCAAAATTGGTTTATGGGTACATCTGTTTACTATGAAGAAAGTGTCGTCTTGAAATCTGTCTACCAGTTGTCAATTTTGCAAGGCAGCAGCTCAAATTTCACTACTTCAAGTTAATGCATAAATTAACACCCAGGCTTGTTGTCTGTACGATTGTTGTAACACTGTTTAACCAAAAACAATACCCCGACGGCGTTTTGAAGATAAACACAATGTCAATCATTTGTGAAATTTCAAAACAAAAGGTCAACGCGTCTAGGAGCTATTTTTTTAAAGTTCTGGGATGTGCACTAAATAATTATAATTAGATAATTGCTAATTTGCATAACAGTTCACTCAGCAAGACGTTTGTTAATGCGCATAATTAAAATGGCGTTACAGTTCCAAATTTAAATGTATTATCGTTTTGTCAAACGTTAAATATAGTGCATAATATGGAGATCCCGTCATTTCTTTTTTCACCATGTTTTGTTTTTATTATTTATGTACAGCCTTGCTAAATCTTGCTAAGCATTCAAAAGAGGGAATGCTTGCACCTGTTATCTATATTTTAAAATCGTTTTTGAGTATGTTCCACTATTCACAATTCTACAAAATTTGAACAGTCTATAGCCAAGACTGTTTGGATAATAAAAAGCCAAAAAAAAAAAAAATTCACTCCCAAGTGCCCACGAACCTGCATCTCTACCTTAAATGTGGAGAGATACAGTACATAAACGATTAAATGAAAAATGACACGGTGGTTGAACAATTAAATGTGGAGAGCTGCAGTACGTAAACGATTAATATGAAAAATAAAGTGATAGTTGAGAAATTACAGAATAAGGAGCTACACAATTTGAAAGGATAAATAAGGAGAGCAGTACATAAACGATTAAATGAAAAATGACACGGTAGTTGAACAATTAAATGTGGAAAGCTACAGCACATACGCGATTAAATGAAAAGTGACATGGTAATTGAACAATTAAATGTGAAGAGCTACAGTACATAAACGATTAAATGAAAAGTGACACGGTGGTTGAACAATGAAATATTGAGAGCTACAGTACGTAAACGACTAAATGAAAAATGACACGGTGGTTGAACAATGAAATGTGGAGAGCTGCTGTACGTAAACGATTAATATGAAAAATAAAGTGATAGTTGAGAAATTAAATGAGGATGGCTAAGTAAATCAAACGAGGGGAGCTACAAACCCATAAACGATTTAAATTTAAAATGACATGGTTGTTGAGAACTCAATTTAGGAGAGCGAACAAATGAAAAATGATTTGATAGGTGAGAAATTAAATGAGGAGAACTACCATGAATTAAATTAAATGAGAAGAGCCACCGCACATAAACGATTAAATAAAAATGACATGGTAGTTAAAGAATTACATAAGAAGAGCTATAGAGAAAAAGAAGGTGAGAGGGTAAGTTATGAGAAAAATATAAGAGGATAAGTAGAAAGAATCAGAGAATGTGTGATGTTTAATGAAAAGAGACAGGGAAAGTTAAATGAGAAGGCAAAACGTTAAAGAGCTACAGTGAAGGTTACCGGTTATACAAGAAACACCACGGATATTGAGAGTTTAGAAATAGAAATAGAAAAAAAGATGAACCTGCGAGATTAATTAGGAGAACTCTGTAAGGTGGTTTATTGAATGAGAAGATATTTCGAAAAATGGGGCCGTTGAATGGGGAGAGACAAATAACATGATAGATCAAACTTGAAGAGAAAGCAATGGAAAGTACGAGAATAACAGACGTGAACCATGGGAGCTGAGAGATTCACAGATGACGAGCATCACAGATGAGAGGTTCTTATATGAGAGACGTGGGTGGTGAGAGGTTCTCATATGAGAGACATGGGTGGTGAGAAGTTACCAGATGAGAACTATAGTAGGTTAAATGTTAACAGATGAAACCCATTGAAGGTGAGATGTTAACAGACGAGAGTCATTGGTAGTGCAAGAATATCAGATGAGGTAAGAGTCATTGGTAGTGGACGAATAACAATATAGAGTCACGGGTGGTGAGAGATTTACATACAATAGCCATGGATGTTTACAAATGAGAGCCATGTGATAGGTTTCCAAATAAGAGCCATGAATGGTGAGAGGTTCACAGATAAGAGCCGTTGGAGGTGACAGGTGAACAGACGAAAACAATGGGTGATGAGAGGTTAACAGACGAGAGCCATTATAGGTGAGAGGTTAGCATATGATAGCCATGGGTGGTGCGAGATTAACAGATAAGAGCCATGGGTGGTGAGAGGTTCACAGATGAGAGTTGTGGATTGTGAGAGGTTTACAGATGAGAGCCATTAGAGGTGAGATGTTTTCAGATGATAGCCATGGGTGGTGAGGGGTTAACAGATGAGATCCATACGTGGAGAGAGGTTTACAGATCAGAGCCATTGGGGCGAGAGGTTAATAAATGAGAGACAGGCGTGGTGATAGGTTAACAGATGAAATCCATGGATGGTGAAAAGTTAACATATAGAAGCTATGGAGGGTGAGAGGTTAACATATGAGAGCCATGGTGGCCAAAGGTTTACAGATGAGAGCCATGGGTGGCGATAGGTTTACAGATGAGAGCAATGGGTGGCGAGACGTTAAAAGATGATAGCCATGGGTGGTGAGATGTTAACAGATGGAAGCCATGGGTGGTGAGAGGTTGAAAGATGATAGCCATGGGTGCTGTAAGGTTTACAGATTAGAGCCATGGGAGGTGAGAGATTAACATATGAGAGCCATGGGTGGTAAGAGGTTTACAGATGAGAGCCATGCATGGTGAGATGTTAACAGACGAGAGTCATTGGCTGTGGAAGAATAACAGTTTAGAGTCACGGGTGGTGAGAGATTTACATACAATAGCAATATGAGGTTAGAAGTTAATAGATGCTAGCCATGGATGGTGAGGGGTTAACAGATGAGATCCATGGGTGGTGAGAGGTTAACAGATGATAGCCATAGGTGATGAGAGGTTTACAGATGAGAGCCATTGGGGATGAGAGATTAACAGACGAGAGCCATTATAGGTGAGAGGTTAACAGATGATAGCCATGGGTGGTGTGAAGTTTACAGATGAGAGGCATGGGGTGGTGAGAGGTTAACAGATGAGAGCCATTGGAGGTGAGAGGTTTACGGATGAGAGCCATTGGAGGTGAGAGGTTTTCAGATCCATGGGTGGTGAGGGATTAACAGATGAGACCCATATGTGGTGAGAGGTTTACAGATGAGAGCCATGGTTGGTGAGTGGTTTTCAGATGATAGCCATGGGTGGTGAGGGGTTAACAGATGAGACCCATAGGTGGTGAGAGGTTTACAGATGGGAGCCATTGGGGACAAGAGGTTAACAGACGAGAGCCATTATAGGTGAGAGGTTAACAGATGAGAGCCGTGGGTGGTGAGATTATAACAGATGAGAACCATTTGAGGTGAGAGGTTAACAGATGAGATCCATATGTGGTGAGAGGTTTACAGATGAGAGCCATTGGGGACGAGAGGTTAACAGACGAGAGCCATTATATGTGAGAGGTTAACAGATGAGAGCCATGGGTGGAGAGAGGATAACAGACGAGAACCATTATAGGTGAGAGGTTAACAGATGAGAGCCATGGGTGGCGAAAGGTTTACAGATGAGAGCCATGAATGGTGAGATGTTAACAGATGGAAGCCATGGGTGGTGAGAGGTTGAAAGATGATAGCCATGGGTGGTGCGAGGTTTACAGATGAGAGCCATGGGAGGTGAGAGATTAACATATGAGAGCCATGGGTGGTAAGAGGTTTACAGATGAGAGCCATGCGTGATGAGAGGTTAGCACATGATAGCCATAGGTGGTGAGAGGGT